TTCTCCTTGCATAAAATTTATTATTATTTTTTGAAATTAGCTGTGTTTATTATTTAAATATATACTGTTATTAAAAAACTTTTAATATAATACTGTATAACAATATATTTTTTTAAAATTTTAGTGGTCACGTTTTTTTGAGCAATACTGTATCTGTAGTATGCTACTCAGAGGTACATTAAACTTGATAATAGCGATTCAGTGCAAATAAAAATATATTTACTGTAGTTAATACACCTATTGTTAAAAAACCTAAACGCCACTCCATCTCTATTTCTAAAGTATGGTCTAGTTCCCATATCTTGTTGACAAGTATGCACTTCACGTACCTATTCAATACGCCCTTGGTGTGAAGAAATTCTATCAAGTTTTTAGTCGGCCCACGCAAAAGCGGTTCTAAAACTCTGCTATACCAATAATTCATGGGTTTAAAAATGTTTTAAAAAATATTTTATTGTATTTTTCTAATATTTTAAAGGCCTCTTTTTTTCCCACATGGAAAAAAAAGGGACTTGATCCCAAATATTCATTTTAAATTTTAAAGATGAATTTGATTCTCAATTATTTTAAAGAAAATTACACCAACTTTAAATATTTTTAAATATTTTATAATATGCAGTCAATGATTAAGTGAATCAAACATAAAACTTGTTTCGACTTTTTATAGTCAATTCTTAATTAGTTTATGTATTAAACTTTTAAATTAACTTAAATTATTATAAATTTAATTTAATTAATTAAAAACAGGCTCCGGTTTAATAAAATTTGCTAATAATTTTTAAGGGTTCGATTCCTAGTATATTGGTTTTTAAATATTAATATAACTTTAAATACTTTATTATTATATCTAAATATAAGAAAACAAATAATATTTTAAAGAAGAAAAGGTTAAATTTTTTAATATTATACTTTTAGTATTTTTTAAAATATAATTATTTTCTTGTTTAGATTAAAATATAATAAATCTTTTTAAGTTTAATTATCAAAAAATTTAGTATATTTTTATACTAACATTAAA